ATTTGTAATGTACCCATGGCAGTTATTTCACATCAGAGAAATACACCGCTGACCTTGTGTCTGATATACTTCAAGCACTGAGAAATGGAAAGGGGATTTACACAGCGAGATGGTGACAGATAAATAACAAGCAGGAACAAAGGAGTCTTTCACAAAATGCAGAGTAAAGTGTGTCAACCACACTGAGAATCCAGTGAGCTAACAAGTAAGCTAGTAATAAACTAAAGGTCCTGATGTTAGCTTGTTTACTTCTGGTTGTGTGTATTGACTGATAAACAGGAATCTATAGGAACAAAGGGGTGAATTATTATAAATAAGTAGCCAGACCGCAGCATCAGGTGAATGTGAAGGACAATGGGAAGGAAATCAGTGCCTATAGGTGTAAGCAAGACCTTTCCAATGCTTTACCACTTACATTATTAACAGGCCTATCTGTGGCTAGCGTGAGAGAAAGGGATGTAAGACGATGACATGGAGAGAGTGTAAGAGATGAAAGTGGGGTTTCCGTGTAAGACAGCGCTCTGGGCTGAAAGAAGCCGACACCTTGACTTTAATTATTAAAACGCTACTTGGCTTTCCCTTCACCTGCTGCCGTACTGTATCTCTTTCTCCTCTCTGTGTTTCTGCAGGGTCTTCAGTGGAACTGCATTGGTTTGAGTCCCAGTTGTGTGCGTGTGAGATAAAGGGACATCCTCGTCTCTGCAGGCTGTTGTTGTGGCACCATTAATCTCTTATATCTATATGCCCCAAGGCCAAAATTAATACGCTTTATATTCACTATGCACAGAGGCACGGCATAAAAGTGCATTACCCCTCATTAGCACATAGTAGAGAAAAGTAAATATGGAAATGCTTCCACACATAAATAATGAACAAAGAACAGTTTTTGGGAAGTTATTGTTGGAAATTCTCTCGCATGGAACGTCGCGTGAGATTCATTTAACTCGAAACCCGAAGGCCATGCAGGACACATGGGAAAACCCTCTGGAATAAAATCAGTGTTTTTATTTCCCTGCAAAACAACCTCCATCTGAGTGGCTCCAATAACCGAGGCGCTGCTAGTCTGCTTGGTTCCAGTCGGACTACACATCCCATACGTCTGTGCAGTAAAGTGTAACAGCTAACATCTGTCTTGCTGCTGTTTGATTAGTCTCCTGACACAAGCAGGACAGGATTGTTTACAGTCAGGAATTTGATTTAGAATAATATTGGACAATATTTCAGGACAAAATATCTTCTGTGTCTGCACATGAAGTTGCTTCATTGCTGTCCAATGCCTTTAACAGTATGTATATATATGCAAATGTATGCACTATATCGTGCTCCTTTGTCTGGCTCCAGTTCAATGAGAGTCTGCAATGCTACCTCGGGCTTATAGAAGGTTGTGGGTGTATTTAGTATAATTATCATGCTTAAAGGTTTGTGATGCAACAGACAGTAAGGTGCAGTGTAATATAGAGCCGTTTTGGGGGCGAATAAACAAATTAGGCTTTGCACGATGGGGCTTTTGGCCTTGGCGAAGCTACCAGGGGGCCAAAACACCTGTTTTTGTCTTTTTTTGGCAGCATCCCAGATGCAGAACCTGACTTAAAGACTGCTGGGTGGCCCTGACGAGTTCAAACATTTCACTGCAAGTCAGCAACAAAGGCCAGGATGTCAGGCAACAGAAGTGCCTCGGAGCCACTCACTGATCCTCCGCATTCCCCTTTTATCACTTTGTTCTGGATAAAAGTGTTAGCCAAATGCCTAAACTGTGTGATTATTCAGCTGAAATATTGTTGCTTAAAAATAGCCTTGATGCTCTGTTGACTTGTGTGGATGCAGAGACAGAATAAGTCAAAGCTAATAGGGCAGCACCAGTTTCAGTGTGAGCTATGAATGCTGTTTTACTGTGTATTCTCTATAAGCCTTTTGATATGAAATGCAAAAATGTACAAAGAAACACCGGGCAGCCGTCCGACAGCCCCTCAGTGTTGTGTGTACAGTATATGCTTGGCTTGCGGCGTTAACTGGAGGCAAAGAACAATTGTAAAACATGGTCTGTTCACAGTAAGGAACCATTTAATGAAAAGAGAGGCAAAGTAAACAGAGTGTAGATTTTCCCAGGGGCATTTGGGATTGTTGGCAACCGCCTCAAGTCTTGTGTGTAAACAATGTGCCTCAGAGTTGGCGAAAAATATGGCTGAAAAACAACGATAAATGTGGCCATCATAAATTCAAGTCAAACAAAACACTTCTGTGGGCAACAGAAAAACTCCGGAAAGGAGAAGTTATAAATAAACATTGCACTCATTTATTTTTCCATTCCTGTTGTAACCTAGTTTCCAATATTTTTGTTATTCTGAGAGTGGTGCCTTCCTCTAGCCATCAGCCCCTATTTTTTAACAATTGTGCCCACCTACAATGGAGTCAGTAATTATTAAAAACATGATTGTGTCCTCAGTAAACCCTTTGTGTAAGCACAGCTGTTGAATCTCTCTTGATAATTGCACATCTTTTTAAAGGTTTCCTATTCTAATCGTGTCCTTCTGATATACCTAACCTACCCTTTGAATTTAAAACCACTATGCAGAGCAGCTTGCAGAGTTATTCACATGCACGCCAGAGAGCGCAAGTGTGGAACATGGGAATCTATTTCGGTGACACTTGAAGTGCTGATGACCTGCCTCGGGCCTTTAAAATCAAAGGGGAGTGCCGGACTTTATTAAAATGGCAGCCTGGAAATTGGAACTTTGAGCCTTGAAACAGCACAGTGCTCAGGTAGGGGCCGTGTGCGTGGGAAGGAATACTCGTGGCAATGTCCTCTGCTATAGAATCTCATTCATTTACAGTTAGATATGCAGTCCCTTTCAACTGAACCTCCATTTCATGTTAAAAGATCAACTCCTCCTCGGTGATATGATTAAGACATATTTTAAATATGAATCCCAATTGGGAAATGCATTAATGTCCACTGGAAGCAGTGATTTAGCATTCAGCTTGATGGTATGGTATATTGATGGGTGCTTCCCTGCTACATTTTGTGTTCATTGTATGTTTGTGTCTATTGGTTTTGCCTCATGCATTAGCATATTTATATTTTTAAGAAAAATACTGCAGCATTGAAATATTACATGGTTGTACAGTAATGATTTTATAGGTTGTCCGAGCATTTTGCTGCTATACTGTAGGCCATTTGTCATCATACTAACATGCATTACTGAGGGAAGTGTTTTTCTTTATAATTTCCAGCCCCTGGAGACAGACAACATTGCACGAAATAACACACACAGCCAGCACTCTCAATAAAACGGTGTCTTGTAAAGGGCATAAGGATGATAAACACAATATTGTTGGCCATAAAAGCTCCACACTGTCTGAAAATATCACCAGCCCATCGTCAGTGTGGCACAACATTGTTATAATTATAATATCTACTCGTCTTCCTCTTCCAGGCCTCGAGGGGCTCCATATGTTGTGGTGTTGGACAGTCCTCACTTCTCCTCACATCTCCGCTCCTCCTCTCCTGCCAAGTGCTCTGGGGCACTGCAGCCTTTTCCGCCGCTCACTCATCTCTTGCTTGTTTTCCCTAGCCTCTCATGTCCGTTTATTTTGCTCTTCTTTCATTTGTGTCTGCCATTGTCTTCCAGGTTAATTTCCGCTGAGGCTACCACGAGAGATGCTTTACATTCTTTCACATTACACTCCACTTACAAGCCATTAACAAATTCTTTGAAGGGTGTTGATATATTAAAGTGAGGAATGAAACTCCCTCTGCACTGACGAGAGTAAAGATAACCATTTCACTCTAAATCTTGCACCATTGGAAGGATTAGCAACAAATTATTTATAGGTGTCTGGCATTTAGAGTAAAATATGATACAAAACATACGACAAAGGTCCAAGGCTGCAATCCAAATGGACGCATAAAGACACCAGCATGCATCATTGCTCCTCTCAATCAATGGGTGCATGCTTTATACCCTCTAGTTAGCTCAACCCTTTAAATAACGCTAATAACAGAAGAAGAGCAGTTGCATGTAGTTGACACAAGTATTAGTATTTCCTCTAAAGAATATCCGGTTTGAAAAGACTCAGAGTACTGGACTGTGATGGTTGAGACTACATTAACCCAAATGAAAACACTTTCTCTTAAATTGACAAATGATGGTGTATTTTAATGCCAGCTGCCGCAGAAACCAACTTAATAAAATAAACAGCAACACTATATTATATTTATATTCTCTCTGTGCTGATGAACAATGATTCATTGTGTTTTGCGGACTTTCTCTTTAGGAAGTTAAGTATGACAAAGTATTTTGCGTATCCATTTTGTTTTGCGGTTCATATTTAATGTCGTTTTTATATTTGTAATGCATCTCATTCAATCACATTTGTATTTATGTAGCCGAGTATCACAAATTAGTCAGGGCGCTTCATTGTGTGTACAGCATATGACACCTTAAAGGGGCTCTTTTATACAATTGTTCAGGTTCATATTTGTATTTTGTGCCTCTACCGGGACGTCTCCATGCTTTAATGTTCAAAAAGGTCATTCTTTTTCTCATACTGCCTATACTGCACCACCTCTTTTCACCCTCTGTCTGAAACCAGAGTCTGCTCTGATTGGTTAGCTGGCTGGCTCTGTTGTGATTGGTCAACCGCTTAAAGATGTCCCGCCCCTTAGCTTTTCAAGGTCAATGTGTTAGAGTGCTAGCCAAGAGAAGCGCGTGTGTTAGGTATTGAGACCAATTACATGCACAAAAACCTATATAACACATTACAGGAAAAGGAGAACCCCCCAAAATCATAATTGGGCCTCTAAAATCACAACATAGACTATCTAAATGTCAATGATAATTTGAATTTATATTAAAAAAAAAAGATGGATCATTGAGAATGTCAACCATTTTCCAGGTGCCGCTGAAAATAATAATGTGGGCGTCAGGCAGGACTACAGCAACATGAGATCTTTTTGTCATATTTAGTCACTTACCCCTCCTCTGTTCTCTTCCTGCCAGGTTTTCCGAAGCGGCGAAGGCATGGGCATCCGCCTGGACAGCGCCTCGGCCTTCCAGGGGGCCGTCATCTCCCCCCACTACGACTCCCTCCTGGTGAAAGTCATCGCCAGCGGGAAGGACCTGCAGACTGCAGCCTCCAAGATGAGCCGAGCCCTGGCCGAGTTCAGAGTGCGAGGGGTCAAGGTAGGACATTCAGCCACGTGTGTTTGATGCCGCTTTGTGTGGGAATTTTAAAGTTATCGCTATGTGTGAGAAAATGCTGACCTCTTCAGATGATGGAAAAACTTGGTGGATAATGTCCAAGTGCTGTGTTATCAACCTGGAAAATAGGCAATTGTCATGGTCTCCAAATGATTGACATGAGGTATTTTGACAGCAGAGATGGTTTATCTGCTGTGAATGGATTCATGAGAGCCCATCTCAAACTATTGGAGACAGTCGAGCATGGTTAAGGGTACGATGCAGGGAAAACTTTAAGAGAGAGAAGGACATCTTTATAAGGTTTCTTCATAGCGAAGCAGCTGCAGAGAACAACAAGTCACTGCGAAGTGGTACTCCAGCCTTCTCGGATACTCCTTTCATCTCTTGACATGCTCACTTTATTCTTTATTTCTGGGTTTTCAGACTAAAAACTAAAGTTGTGTCTGTGCTGAATACATCCCTGCATAAAGACAGAACTCTAGTTTAATCAGCGAGTGCAAACGCTTGTTAACAGACTCAGTGTCGTCAGCAGAAACCATGTTAACAGACTGAGTAGGCGGCGGTGATTAAAAATAATGATCTGCATTTGCTGTTCATGTACAAGTCATATAAGCTAGTTATATCATGAACCACATGACACCTCTCACACCTTTTTGAAGGGCCTTGAACAAGTCTTGATTTATACCACTAATATTAGTTTTAAAACATTCAATAAACCTGATAATGTTGTGGAACACGATGTTTAATCAGCCATGCTAATGTATTCTCTGTTGGCCTACTAAAGGTAACCCAGTTAATAATTGAGTTAGATAAAAAAGAAGCACATAATAGACGGTTTGTGGGTCTCCTGCGGTTATCATTCAGATTCCTTCCAATCCATTACAAGTCATTTGCACTTTATCGTTTTAATTTTTACCCCGCAATTAAAAATAAACAATTTGCTATCTCATTGATTGTCAGGTAACACATGGAGCTTTCTCACAACATGTGCCTTTGTATGCCTCGCAGCTTAATGTGAAAAGTGCTGTAGCTATGAATACAACTGGAGAGATCTTTGACTGGATTAACCAGGCCCATGATAAAACTATTTTCCAATTTCGAGTGGATGCAAGTGAGTGAAATATCAAGGTGAACAGGTCTTGGAAGACAATGAGAGTTGCTTGGGGAAGCATTCTTATAAATCTCACTGTTTTGCAACAAGAGTGTCAATGAACAGAGGATGAATGTCAGCAGTGGGATTTGTAAAATGATTAGATGGATCAGTAACAGATAATGTATGTTCTGCTTTGACCAGACTCTAATCAGTATGTGAAACAATAAGGATCCTCTTGCATGAAGGATATACGTACATATCTTTGGTTTAATTAATGGTTTATATTGTGTCCTGTTGCTGGTTACCTACCTGTAGTTGGATAAAATGAGGTCTGTTCGAATAAAGGGAAACTGAAAAGTCTTATCAGCTTAGTTCATATTTGCTCCTCAGTCTATTTAGAATTAGTCATGATGAGGTGAAATTGCAAGTGACATTGGTGTTCTCGACTTTAATTTGTCGTTCAACTTGGAGTGAACTTTGCAAACTATCAGCAGTGATTTAATAGATTAACTTTCTGACAAAGTGAGGAAGCCAAGACCTGATGAGCGTGTGGACACTGTGCTTTGTCCTGGGAAGTCAACCTAATGTACCTTACCTCCAGTGGCTCAACATTTAAATCATTTTCTGCAGAGACAAAAGCTGTTTCTCAGTCTAAAAACATGATTTTATTGACGAGTTCTGAGCTACCATGGTGCATACGATTTAGATTTAATTTGCAAACAAGTATTTTCTATTCTGCACCAGTGAACCAGTACCAAACTTTGTAGCACAACAGAGATGCAAAGAATAGAGGATGGCTGTTACAAGCTGTTGAATTAAACATGTTCCCCTGAATACTGCTGTTGGCGGACTGAGATCATGACAGCTCTTTTAAAAGACTTGAGATTCGAGAAAAACCCAACTGCTTTCTGTGTTATTCTGCCACCAACAAATCTGCCAGTTGTTTAGAGTGGAGCCTGGGTTTATTATGGAGAAGTTAACATATTCAAGTACTGATGTCTTTAAGTTACTGAAGTGTACATATATATCCTGATGTCTTGTCCTTGCAAGGAATAGTTAAGCCACATTCTTCCACAATATGAAAATCACCACGGCTATGGTGGATACACTTTCTTCACATCAAACCTCATTGTTTTTTCCACTTTTAGAATATTCTATGAATTCATTTATTACCAGCTAGAAAATAAACACTACACCTGAACTTGTGACACCAGGTTGTTTAACTTACTCATAAGATTGAAAAAGCTGTCATACATGAGCTTTCTTCTGTGAAAACCACACAGATGTTTGTTCCTGAGAACCTGGATGATGTACTAGTACCATAAATAATGAACATGTTCCACTACAGGGGATATTTCATTTTTTTGTTGCTCTAAAAATACATTTAGCTGAAGTGTAGGGTTTCAGATGTGATGTCAGTTTGACGTAAGCACCCTACGTCATTCAGTGGGTCACTCCAAAAGTCCTACACTGTTATCTATCCTAGGGGCTAATTAATTTTCAATCTGTTTGTGTGTCAACCACTCGAATACACCCATATATACGGAAGTGACCAATGAAAATGTCTACAGCAAGAAATTGTGGTGTTGGTGAGCGGTGGCCTTGGAGACAACTCTCACTGGTGACATTCCACCATAGCAACAGCATCATTGTTGGCTACAAATCTAAGGCTATTAAGCTTTGGTCTGCTCACAGAGATATGACACAGAGGGCTGACATCCTCCAAACTCTGAAGGGTTTTATCTGTCTCCTAGTAAAAGAAAATTGGCTACATGAATTCTGAATGCAATGCTTCTCAGTTCATTCTTTGAGTTTGGTGGCACCTATAGTCACCATTGATCCTCCGAATGTTAAGTATAGTGTAACCTTTCAGTTCCAGCGAAATCCACAAGTTACTTGCTTGACATCTTGCTGCTCGTCCTGTGTTGTGTGGAATTAGGTTTGGCATTTCAGAAAGCTCTCTATATCCCCGGCTTCTGCATGTGTGCGCATTTGTTTGTATGTGTGCGCACATTTGAGGAGCCGTGTGTGTTTTGCAGTGAAATGTCACACAACCAGCCGCAAACAGAGAGAGGGGGAGTGATGGACGGGATATTTGGCAGGAGGGTGAGAATAGATGGATCGAGGAGCAGGGGAAAACTGTAAAAGGGCAATTAAGATGGAGAGTGTGTGTAACATAAAACAACAAGAAAGGTGGTGTGGCCCAGAGAAGCCCATGTAGCTGTTGGGTTTGTGGCAGAATGCACATGCAGGTTCAGTTTAGGAGACAGTTTAAATATTAAAATGACTAAAAAACTAATCAAGGTCATCTGAAGTTCACTGAAATGTGTCCTCAAAACCACAAATACAACAAAATCGAAATACAGTGCGCTTCATTTGTATCTGCCCACCTTAATTGACCCCTAAGAAGCTGTAACTAGAAAAAGTGAATGCTAAAGTAATGTCTATGACACTAAGAGTCATATTTGACATTTAAAGAGTGAAGTGTGGTGTATAATAATTTATTGTCTGCCTATTATTTCAAAAAATACAAGAGCAAAAGTGTAAAATGAGTCTTCTGGAACCATCAAAAAATCAGCCTGAGGCTACTCATGGTTATATGAATTAATTAGATATCTGATTAAATATGCCAGCAGCAGATGTCATTTTAACTGACATAATGGACAGTTGGACGGCTGCTTAAGTCTACCTTATTCTAAAATCCAGGAGTCATTATTTAAAAATATGTTTTTGTTATCCCTAACATTCTTAATTGTGCAAAGGAGGATGTTTGTTTCCTCTCTTAATTACACACACAATACATCTGCTTCTTGTTAATGCAAACATGGGAGCATCTGTCCTGAGTGTTTTCTCATCACAGAGGATGTTGGCTGATGAACATCAGATGGTTTCTGTTGATTTTTTTACCTCTGTATTTGTGTGACGGAGATATTTTCTACTGCAAAGGTAGAGAAAGACAAATAGAAGTTCCTACAGTACGCTTCTCCTCACGGCACTAAATATTGTGTAAAGTTTGGTAGTCTTCCACAAACTGAGATTTTTGGATTGAAACTGTAGAAAAGAAGTACAAGTAGCCAAGGCGACATCACTCATTAGTTTGTTGAATATCTATTTGAAGCCTTGACTTTGGCATATTGGCCATATGTTACCATATTTGGATGAGAGGGTAGAAATTAGAAGAGTTGCTGTTAGCATAGCGAACTCAAAGCTACATGCTATCGCTATCTAGCTAGCTTGGTTAGCATGGCACATCCATAACTTGTGCTATGTGTGTTTAATAAAAATAGCTTGCATTTAAATGAACTTAAATAAACAGCAGGTCCCTTTTTAAACCAGAAGTTCTTGAGGAAGATTTGACTGAGGTAATAATTTGAGTAAGGATTACGTTAATTTTCTCAGATTTCTATACACTTTTTTTACAAACTGTGGAATTGCTGCTGCTAGCTATTTGACCATTGTTTCAAAACATTGGCCAGATGTTTCCCCTTGATATTCATGTGTGTGTGTGTATACGTTTGTATGTGTGTATGATAGACTCTTCACAGTTTGTTGCTTTAGAAGTTATTTTTGGGGCTGTGCTTTAGGCGGTGTGGTTTCATCGCTGTTTATCTTTACACCTCATGTGTGAGAGTTTGATGTGACCTGGGGTTGTTGGACCCATCAGTTGGTGAGAGGGATGATTCCCATCATGAGAGGCTCTTTGAAGAAGCTGTAATGTTTCGCTTGGTGATAGCTTGTCAGATCACAGGCTAGTTTCCAGCCTAAGATCACCACACACTGTCCTGCTCCTTGCTCTCTTCGTTTCACTCAAAGAGTAAGATCTGTAGTTCTAAGCACCTCTGTCGGACATCTTTATTAAGGCATGTTTTGGACGAAGTCAAAGTGGCTC